CTAGAGACATTGTCGGATGGCCCAGTCGCGCCCTCAATACCGCTCGTACATCCAAGCTGTTTCCTTCAATGCCTGGCTCCCCTCTCAATCTCCTCACCTAAAAGTTGACTGACAACCCTGCATGTGCGCATCAGCTCCCGCCTCTCCCAAATCATCGATGAGAGAAACCGTTGCAACTATGACCACTTCAGCAAGTACGCGGTCCTCACAGCTGCTGCTGACTTAGGCTCCACAATGAACAAGTTTTCTTCCTCTTGTTTTTCAGACGTCGTTGACCAAGTGCTGAATGCGCATCCAATTTCTGCTTAGCATTTTGATTTTCGTTCTGTTTCATGGCCCGTGCAACAGCGAGAAGTAAGTGATATCCTTCCTACTCTATATTTCGATCACCCAGCTACTTGCTATATGATGTGTTCGAAGGAGAAGGCTTCAACCTACGGAGGGATGTCTATATTCGGATGGCCAACACAGTTCGGTGAGTGGGCTTTTGTTCGCTTTTATTGTTCGGCTGCTAGCGTTGTTCATCAGTAAGGTGGACTGCTTTTGGAAATACGTTGCCCTACTGGAGTTTCTGAATAAATCATTTTTAGCTTCAGTTGAGATGAGGCCTACTTGGAGCTCGGTGCGGCCATCGGATGATGGCGTCCGCTTGACTGTTTCTTCCTTGAATATTTCCATAGTTCTAGTTTGACACCTTTTCCTCTCGTGTCTGTGCATACTCAGTAGGAAACCTGAGGACCGAGGTACTGTTCAACCGCAGTTTGGTGCAACCATGCGGCGCAATCGTCTAGCCCTTCATCTTGGGTAACATCAAACTCCTAACTGCGCTCTGTATCAAGGAGTACCGGTGTCAGGTTGTTTGCCTGCCTTCTGGATCCCCGGTGAATTTCCTGGATTCAAACTTTCAGAACAAATAAGACCATAGACTCACGGCTGCTTGGCGCATCGAGTTCCAGTCAGCTGTGGATTAACGTTTAGAATATGTCCGAGGACGAGTTAGAAAAGATGGCCCAAGTGGTTAGAGCGCAAAGTTATTGACCGGAAGGTCCGTGGTTCGAACCCGACTTCTGCCTCGAATTCCCCTATCTAGGCTTGGATAACCTGGCAGTATCCCAGCCCTCGTACAACCTTAGGGTGGCATGGCGGTTAGGCGCCGAAAAGGTGCTACAACTAAACGATTAGAAAACAGTCGGAACTATCGAGGATGAACAACTTTTTACTTGTTCAAGAACAGGCGTAGATGAGCTGAACTGTACATACAAAGATTCAATACAAGTATATAGGGTAAGTATAGTAATAAGCAGATGGAAAGCATGACAGACTCTCGGGTTTCCGTCCCTAACCTGACTTTCTGATCGATTCTACCCAAGCCTCGGCGGCTCCCGCACTTTGAATTTCTTTAGGTTTCATAAGTAATACCACATATGGAGCACTTAGTTTGATTTCATTGTTGCATCTACCCGACTATGAGCATTTTCGATACCTTTGGAGCACTCGTTTAGTTGTACTTCCAGACAATCGTATTTTTAGCGACTAGCTCACCTCAGGTTTTTTAAAAAGCAGTTCGCACCCAAGCGTACCGCGCTTACATTCTGGTGCTTACTTCCAAACGTTTAAACCTGTGCTTGCGTTACTTAGGAAATGCACATCATTGACTCACATTTACCAACTTGATACACAGAAGGTGGAGATCGAACTGAGTTGGTGCAGTTGTTTCTTCCTGAGGGTGTATCTGAAGAGACAGTGCATAGTTAGTTGCATAGGAAGGAACTCACCCTCGAAGATGATCCAAAGCACTAATCGAATTCGTATTAGTTGGATGGGTGGTCTTTCCTGAGGGCTATCCTTTCAGAGGGGGCATGACTTATTTCTGTCAAAGTGGTGTCATGTGACTTCATCCTCAGAGCTCAGTGCCTCGGGTCATAAACACGTTCATCAGGATTTAATTAAGTTCGATCTGCAGCGGCCTTGTACTACGGCAGTCATAAGAGAATCACGTCTCCTTAACTATGTGAAAATGGCGAACTTAGTGGATCCAGATAGTGTTGCTGGTTTATGCTTGCTCGCGATGGTCACAATCGCCTGAAGTCCTCCATTTGGCGCCTTTGCAGAATATTTGTCCACCAGATATTCTCAAGTGATTGGAAATTCTCTTCGTAAGGAAATTTCATGTAATTTTCAGATCGAAGCCAAGATTTGAAGCCCACAGTTGCTGCACAGTTGTTGGCCCTCTTCACCTGACATTTACTTCAGTTGAAGCCAAAGTGACTTCGTGAATTTTGTCTTCGTTATTGATGATCAGGACTCATAGATTTGCATTTCCAGACTCGATTTTACCCTCTTTTTGGCTTGCTGAAATTCGGCACGGGTAAAAATTTTAAGATCTTGCGATGCTAGCTGGTGACACTTTATGTGCATCTCCGGCTCTCTTGTTCGTGGGTTGTACATATGCGTGACATTCAAACGTACATACGGGGTTAATGTACCCAGTGCTCGGAACGTTTATTAATGTTACGACACCCCCATCGTCACACTTGCCAAGTGTAGACTGTTGCCATGACACTGAATGGAATCAAACATAGACCTCATGCTTGTAGACGAGCCCATCGATGTCATCGATCGGTTCGTCTGCCTGGCTGAGTAGAAGAATAACCGTTCAGCTTTGGTATGCTTTCGGCGCTACCATACAACTTTAAGAAAGCACGAGGCTCAAGATAGTGCCTGGTTGTCCAAACCTAGACAGGAACAATCGAAGTGGCAGGATTTGGGTTCAAATCACGCACCTAGTTGGTGGTCTGTGCAGGTGCATAAGTCCAAACTGACGGAAGAAAAACATCAGAAATGGTGGTAACGTTCGCCAGCTTTCGATGTCTATGCTCCCAACATGACATTAGCTTGGATGCCATGGGTAGAATGTACTCTGCTGCATTGTGATTTATTCTGCCTTTTTGGATCGCACCACTCAGAGAAGTGTCGCTTTTCGGCAGCAGAATCACCGCGCGTATCAGCTGCAGTGAGGTACACATAGTTTTTAGAAAGAACAAAAAGTTCCATAGATGGTTCGGCTAGTCACTATCCATAAGAATTCTTTACTGGTCAGAAGATGTAAGTTTCATTCTAGAGGACCGTTTAACTGTCAAAGTTCCCTAAGTCGTGCGTCGTATCTCCTATGTTAGTCCTTAACTTGCTGTCCCGCCCGCTGTGGTATGTCAAGAGATACAAATCTCAATGGGGACATCTGGAGATTGTTATATTTGTATTTGTAGGGCGATGATAGGGTTTTCCGCAACGCCACCCTAAAGTCCTGGTGACGAAGTGGGAAGCATCGTGCTAAAAATGCTCAATTTTAGTTGGTCATTATAACCAATCCTTGCCTACCTCCAGGCTGCTGTTTGTTCGCCGTAATCCATCCACTCGGTGCGATTTGCAGTTGTTCTTGGTGGCTAGCCTCTGAAAAGGTGTGAAAGCATTTACCAGTCAACCCAGTCACGTTGGCAACCACTGTCTCCTCGGAGCGAAGCACACCCGCGGTTAGCTACCGCTACAAACTTTGCTCTTTCGCGCAGCCAAAGGCGATTCTTCGTCAAAGTCAGTACTATACGCGGGATTGTGGAGTCTGATTTGCCAGCAGCTTGTTTTGCGTATACAGTGAAACCCCTTGATAAAGGGCAGGCTTGGGGAGAAGTGCAATGCGGAAAATGGAATTTCTCAGGCATTATGGATATACGTTCATATGCCTTTGATTGATCAGTAGATTTACCGTAGTTTTATCTCGCGTCTACTTTGCTTTAGCTCCAGATAGCTCACTGGTTACGTGCGAACTCCCTAACCGGAAGGTCGATGGTTCGAATCCAACTTCGGTATCTGGACTGCTCCTGTTTAGGCTTCGCTAACCTAGTAGTATCTCAGCCCTCCTGCTTTATTCGGGTGGCATGGCAGCTAGGGGTGTTCCAGTGTAACGATATTCGACTTTGCTTCATGAAAAGAACTTGATGAAACAGTAATTTTCAATAGTGAAGCACTGAAGTATTTCATGAAGTATTTCTAGGGCCTGAAAATAATCATTTGTCTTCAAGTCAATGGTTGGTAGGCTTCATTTGAAACCAAATCATGTGACCAATCTTTTTGGGAAGGAATGCTATTTTGGCGCATGGTCCTATGGAGAAATATGGTGAAATTAAGTCGAGAACTACCGTAATGGATGACTTGGGTTTCTCCAAGCTGGTTTTACACCGGCGCGTTAACATACGTCAATTAATTCGCCTCTGTCGGAGTGCATAGCACATAAACATGTACCGTTCGCAAGCCATATAATCTCACAACTTATCTGCAACGCCACATCAGCTTTGTCGATATAGGTTTAAGAGCTGTTAGCATTGATATCACATACCTCCATCATTCATCGCTGTTCACGAGAACAACCAAATCTTTCCAAACCATTATATCAGTGTCAGAACCAGTTTGCTAAGTTTTCAGTAAATCTAGGAGCCCTTTGGTCACTGCTTAGCGATAGTGGGTTTGACACATAACTGTTCTAATGCAGTTACTTATCAAACGCCATAACATCCTCTACTTGAGCCGATCATATCTTTGATCGCCAAGGTTTAGTTTGAATAGAGATTTAAAAAATGAAGTGTACCCTGATGAGTCTACGCTGTTTTGTGAACACACTACCACTGCATTCACGAATGATTAACGTTTTGAAACCATAAAATGCCACGGTAGAATCCCTGGGGAACACTGACGAGGGGTAGAGTATCTCTGGGTGATTTTACTTGTTATGGAGACTCCACTGATGGTCCCATAGACCATTTGAGGGATGTCCCCAGGTCTTTGCGGTTCGGTATTGAGGGAAGGTCTTGTTGACCGGCCTCACCATAACCTACACTTCCCTTTCACTGAAATTCAAAACAGGGTTCTTTTTACCGTCCTACAGGTTACTAAACCTGAAACGTGAGACCAGCAGTCCGACCATTTGGACTTTAGTCCTCCCTCCCTGGATCCCCATGTCTCATTGGATGACTGCAGCCAGCCAGTTACCAAACGTGACTCTGTCCTCAGATCCTCTGCCATGGTCAACCTTTTTCGACCTGAACAGTCTATCCCAGGTGATCCCCGTTATGGAGTTGGAGGAGTTCATGACTACCGGTACGTTATTTGTTTTGTGTCCAGTGGTCAGACATTCTAGCTGAATGTGTGAATTTTTCCCAACGGCTAACACTAACCGTCAGTAGTGCATATCCAGTCATATATATACGTGCACACATGCACAGTCACGTAAAAAACACCTTTGGCTACAAAGTTAAACTGAAAAACCAGTAGATGTGGAGGTTGGTGCCAAGCGACAGGGCCCACAACAACCTTACATGCTGCCTCGAAACCCAAATCCCTAGAATTAATCAGTAAGTCATTAGTGATGGAAAGAGTCCTTGAGTTCTGGGTGTACATTAGCACTCCGAATGAACACTTCCGAATTATGTGACCAGCTGTGGTAGTTGCTCTGCCACAGCCATTTTGAAGGGAGGAGACAGGCTTTTGGAACTTGAAAGCGGACCACATGATAGTAATCTTGTGAACCACTTTCAGTGAGTGGTCTACTAGCACTGCGTCATTTTTTTTATGTGTTGACCGGAACATTTTCACTGAACAACTGACTACACGCGCATTTTGAAAATGCTCGTCCTTTAGTTGCCAGGACTGAAAAAGAGATTAGTTCGATGATATATCGAAATCGGCTGCCGTTCGGATTCTGGGATGTGTTGCTAGGAGATCTACTGATCAGATTCATGCTAGACTCATTCACGATCTTCTGTCACTGATAATAGCACGTCTAAGCGTATTAAACCACGTGGAACACAACACGGAGACACCCGATGTTGTGTTCTCACCTTGTTTCTTGCGATTATGGCACCTTATAATGAACAGTCCCTTCGTTTCGCTAACCTGCACCGTTTCCCTAATTGAGAGTAGCTGCTTACTTTTCTCCCACCAAATGAGACTGACATCCTGATTCTGACTGTAGTTTTTTGGGGATTTTTCTGATGCCTTATGCGTCAGTTATCCGTCGTACTATTATTACCCAAACGGTGACCACCAGATGGTTGCAATGTGCGAAAGCTGGTCATTTCAGCCCACCCAGCGAGTGTAATGTGGGTGACCAACTAAACTCTGATCACAACCAGAAGTTACTCAATCACGTGACCTCTGTGAATGGCAGTTTAGTTCAACGTGCATAGCAGAGGGTTAAAAAAATCGTTCACCCGTAGCACCCTTCCGGTTCCTAGCTGTCACGCCACCCGAAGGAACGCGCTGGGATACTGCCAGTTGCCCAAGCCTAAACAGAAGTCGAGATACAGAGGTCGGATTCGAACCACGGATTTTTCGGCCAGTAAATTCGCTGTCTAACCACTGAGCCATTTCGCCCCAGTAGAGGGTTAACATTAGTTTGATTTCAGTGTAAGTAGTGTACATACCCAGTCACGCTCACCCGTTGCGTCATACTATTCTGCAAGTAACTAATTTTTCCCGGCTCCTCCCTCTTTTTACAATGCATATTTGCGTCAGTCTTCATTCTACATATTAGGGCTAAAATAACGTCACCCAACCTTTCCAATAAGTCAAAAATGGATAATCTCGTTCCCGTAGTGTTGAATATACAACCATCCTCCTTATAAGTTCTTCGATGTAAAAACCATCCTCTCAAATAGGGCGGCTCTTAATTTCCTGAGTTACTCCCTTGACGTAAGACACGTTATAAATACCAGCTCCAGATCGAGACCATCCAGCCTTGAAGCAAACGCCTTGCTTCCAGCAGAACCGCATATTTTCGCTGACAACTTTCAATTTTCTCGTGCACAACCATTTCTTCTCCAACTCAATCTGACCCTATATCTTTAGTGAGGTGGGGGGGGGGGGGGATCTGTGTAGATTCCAACCAGGTTTCCGCTTACTCGTCTGCTACGGTCCACAACCTAACAAACATCGGATTTGTGCGGCTCACCATTTATTTAACGTGGGTCCATGATTTTTCTGATTCAGTACCCTTTGTCCACATCCCCGCTCTCAGTACTGAATGCTATCGGGAAACGAGTTGATCTCGCCGTTCAGTTATTCCGAGATTCCGTTGAGAGTTTCTCCGGAAGACTGGATTCAGTCGAGTTCTGCTCGGAGGAAGTACGTTCCCGTTATCAGGTACGCGGGTACATTTTACAACTGTTTTTTTATGTATGGGATCCAATTTTCTTTTGCGAGAGATCTCCTTCAGTGGTTTCTTTGGGTAATTTGATTTCAAGCACTTGATCACCTGTGTCTCCTTTGGCTGCTGGCTGCAACGTGTCTATAAGGAAGCAGTACTTAGGCGACTATCTAGCATCGAATCAGAATAGTCAAGTCAATGCGTAGACTTTCAGCTTAATGTAGCCGTGACAAGTGACACGCGCTGAGTAAACCATCTTTACTGTTCGTGATATGGCAACGGGAAACAAATTTATCACTGTCAAGCTGAGGGCTGTTCTGGTTGAGGCTCACGTGATTCTCTTTACGCATGATAGGAATCAGCGTAGGGCGTAATGCGTCCCTGCAGAGACCTATTCTATTATTACGTGACCTGGGAAACGTGTTTGCGGGTTCGAACAGATCAGAAACGGATCTGAAGCGTCATGCACTGTCATCGGTCGGACTTGTACAGCAAAGCACAATAACTAGTTGACCAAGTGTTACCAATTGATACGCCATGTCGGACCGTTACCTTCTGTTTGTTTCCAGTTCATTGGTGCACCAAGTGTTAACAGTTTGCGGCCGCTGTCACTTGGCTACTGCGACAGTAGTTTCCCTGTGCGATAACCCCGAATGTTTCCTGTGGACTGGAGGGGACTAACCATCCTGTTACCACCCACCTTAACCTCCTGGTCGAGTTCGTCTATTTTTGCACCCCAGGCCGGTGCTGAATGAAGTTCTCAAATATAACTGCGCAGATCTACTGATCCAATGCTATTCTTGAATATCATTGAGTTCATATCTCTTGACTGTCACCTTATGGCCATACGGTCCTTCCTCTTTTCATCCTTTACTAGATCAATTTTGGTAGTTTTATGACAAACCCTCAAATGGTAGGTGCTGCTGATGTTTTTTTGTTCCTGTTGGCTATGATGATAACTTTGCAAAAGGCTATCTTAAGCCACAACTGAAGTGAGTGCTAGACGGGAGATAGGGGTGAGAGAACTGTCTTGTAGATAGATAACACGCATGGTCTTCCTGGCACAAGCAAGCGATAAAACCTGAAGCTTTGAGGGTTCGAATAGATTAACTCTACATTGATCCTTTTGACAGCGGTTTTGTGCTAGGGTCTCGATGCGGGGACAGACTGCTTTTATAATGGACAGATAGTTCGTGCAACGGGCTAGCACAAAACTTACCAGAATTTGTTTCGTCTTTTTTACAGTCACCCGATTCCCCATACTATCCACCAATCACTCTCTATCCCCACATGAACGAAGGGCATTTAAATGGACTTCTCAATGCCTCACAGTATGACTGCGTCACGGGAGCGTTGGAGCCTTTGTCGCTGGCACCATTTCTCGAAGATTTGTTGGGATCCATCGATATAAATAGGCCGATAAAGTAGGTCACTTTTGCCACCGAAGCTCCCCTGTTTACTGCTAATCAGCATTCGTAGCTCCGTCTGCGTCGACCTAGTGAAGCTGCACTTCTTTCGATAGGTTCCATGTTAAAGTCCAGGAGCGCAAGGCCATCGCAATTTTGAACTAGTCCTGGATAGATCCTGTCCTACCGCGATGCATGTACTAGATTTTCGTGGATGTGTTTCATGCAATTCGACACTGACCAATAATTCGGATATGGTTAACGACCCCGTACTCAACTCAGTTTATCTACGAACCACATGGTGTCGGATGTTCGGGCTGTAAAGTTGAGTGACGTAGACTGTGATCGCTGCATGACCTTAAACGTGGTTACATTTTTTGACGCCTGCGTAAGCCCAACCCACTTCCGGTGCTCGGGTCAGTGTATAAGATATCCACCTTTGATAGCTCTGGTCTGCATTCTGTCGCAGTAGATACTGTGCCAGTATGCTCAAGGCTAGACTGGTATAGTCGGAAGACCAGGGTTGGGTTCTAACCACAGACTTTTTGGTCAGCAGTTTCGCGACTCTACAATTGAGGCATCTCGAGCTCGCGGAAATCCCACTACGGTTTTTGCCACGTTTGGGGCTAAACCCATGCCGAAAACCATTGTGTGCATCAATTCTATAGAGCTGTTCAATTGGCCGATGCATCTTCAGTTTTCAGACCACTCATCTAGCCTACTACTTTTCAGTTTCGACATATTTTGTCTAGTTCTTTTGGAGTCCCGTTTATCTTCAGAGGTACAACTGTCCGTCCATTGTGGTGTACTTGCCCCACAATCGCCTGTTAAGTTTCAGACCCTGAAAATGATTACGACTGGCAGTAGTGGCTTAGAGGTCTGTTTTTCGGCCCCTTACCTGGACTTGAGCATCTAAGCGAAATCTAGGCCTTCATGCTCCCCTCGAATTGCTATTGACGGTTTTCTCTCGTTTTCGCTGGTTTAAGTTTCCTTACCTCTGTCAGTCAAATCCTGTTAATCGCCTTCTCCCAACTTCTTTTCAAGATCCATCTATTTGGGGTCTGCTGAAACGGTTATTCACGGCCAGTTGAGCGAGTGGAGCGCGGAGTATTGGACAGTGAGTTCATAGGTAGTTCGTTCTTTAAAGAGTACTCATTTCTGCTGGTGTTTCTGAATGAAGTAGGTCTCTGTGGCAAGTGGGCATATCTCATTTTGCATTGGGACTGTCTAGGCTATGACCAATCATCATCCACACGAGCTCGGTTACTTTCTTTGTGTACGGCAATTTACTGATTACTCACTATCTACTAATTGTCATAGATCTGTGGACAAACATTTAGTCGAGGACCATTTATAAGCAACATGTTAGTGGATGGACACATTCTGTGACCCCACAATCAGTCCCAAGTTACCAGAGCCTATCTGTTCTCCTCTGAAAATGATTGCTACTCCAGGTGCTACTTCGCACCCATGATGAACGACATTCACGAAACGGCAGCGCAATCGTTTTCAACTTTTAAGCCGCGCCTCGTTCTGCTTCGTGCGATGCATTTTTTGTTCACGATTAACTGGTGTCCAATATTCTTGTCTTCTGCTTCACGTCGGTTCGGTTTCTTACTTCGAAAAGTGCAGTTGGGCAGCCTGGCACCAAAAGGCATGACATTCTGAATAAAAATGATTATTTGATGCATGTCAGGCATGTTTCATTTAAAAGTATGCATATCCTGGTACAGCCATGCTGTGCTAAACGTTCACTCAAAGGATTTGATTAATTACATCACAAACCGCTGCCCAGGGTCCCGTAGAATCAATCAATCCATGTATCAGCTATAAACCGCGTGCCATAGGCACAGTGGTTCCAGCTGCTACAGTTCCGATCACCGGGAATTGGGGGAGTGTGGGACATACAGCCAAGCTTTGGAGGCGATGGCATGTTTGGTTAATTCGGAAATTGGTTAGCTGCGAATGTGTCACTGACTGCTCGACTAGGCCATTTCTGCCAGTGTTTTTAACCAATGATGGGTTGAGTTCCAGAGTCCCCGTCCAGGAAGGAGGCAGCTATCGACCCAACCAAGTTCACCGGTTGATGTTTCCATAATTCGTTGTCAGGTCATGCACCGTCAACCTCTTGGTCGCTTCCATTCAGCTCAGGGCTGGGCGAAAAGAGCTCTGTGAGGCGGAATAAATGTACTAGCTAGCGTAACCTATAAGGCGTGAGTAAACCATTTATCGCGAGCGAGTTCTTTCTTCCTATGACCATCTGGCGTACCTCAACATTACTAATTCGATGTTCCCACCAGACCCCACCAGTGGTCTAAAGACACCGATGGTCAAATACTGCCATCTTTCGTATGTTCTATGCGCGTAGGGGCCACGTATCTGATCCGTAAAGCGACATGGATTGCCTAGCCGCAGTTTAGACTCTGTCCTTGACAGACAAACTCACATGACGTCGGCGCTATAGGTTGGCAAAAGCTGCCCTGGATTTCCCGATTCTAGAAATAATCTCATCTTCAGCCGGTCCACCGAAATTTATACAACTACGCAGGTTAACAAATTTATCTACCACTTCGATTATCTCTTCCTTAAGCATGAGGTTTAGGTTAGATCACACAGTCTTGTAGCAGCGCTTGACACTTGGCAGCTGTGAATCGCATGTCAAACAGTGCGGCAGAGTTATTCAGGTTATTAAGGTGGTTTGCATTTTTGGAGGTGCTGAGTCAATGATCTGAGTGCCATATTGTCCAGACGTCCAATTTCTGTGAGCAAATGTTCTGAAGCATTTTGACTTTCGAGTTTCCGGGGGCGGACAGAAATATCCAGAAACACAATAGTAACAAAGTTGAAGGGGAAAGGTGAGAGGGGGAAGCCTTGTCTCACGCCACTGGAAGTGGTGGACTCAGGCGAGAGCTTCCCGTATACTCGTACGTGTCTACAGGAATGGGCATACATTGTCCTCATAAGGGAAATAAAGTTGGGCCAGGCGCCACTAAATTTTTTCACGATCAACAGAGTCAAAAGCGGTTTGGGATCAAGGTAAAAGAACATTGCAGTACGTTTAAACGAGTGGTGCTGTTCAAGAATATCGTAATGTAAAGATAGGGTTTATGCATCCTCGGCCAGGACGAAACCCAACTCGATTTTCATGAATTTTTCTCGCGATAATCGGTCAACCTAAATAATAAATGAGAATCGTTCAGCTGCAACACACTTCGAGTGCCCAGCCGCCATGCTGGAAGGAAGCGACCCTCGATCAGCCTGCGCAGAATAATGCCAGAGGGCACCTTAGATGCGACGGATACCAGGCTGATTCAACTATGGTTTTCGCATGACGTGGTGCCTTTTTTAAGCTGGGACGATGGTCGAGGACCTCCATTCGGTTGGTACTTTGTTTTCATGCCAAATCAGCAGTATGGTTGTCAGACGTCGACGTCAGGACGTCGACACCTTCTTTTTAGAGTTCGGGATGCAGACCACATGGGCCAAGTGCCTTGTGCTTCTGGATTGATATGTCACGTTGGATTTCTGTTGTTGATGTTCTATTCAGGCCCGCTGGGTTCTCTCAGCGTTTGTTTTGAAGGAGACCAGCTGAACTGTTCTTTGAAGTGTTCAGCTGATCGCTAAACTGAACATTGAGGGAATGAATTCTCTTCACTGATTGATCGAATCAGCTGAAATAGGGCGCGGCTGTTGCCTGCAGCGAAGGCCTTCTCCATCTTCTGTCTCCGAAATCTACCAGCATTCTCTGTCATTCTTCAAGCTTCTGATTAACCGGTGTTCGAGGGGTCTGCGCGCGCTATCACAGTCTCTATGGCCTCTGTTGTATGGCCTTTCTGGCCGTAATGAGTTCTGCTGGTTTCGAGGATGTTCATTCGGTCGAGTCCCACAGAAGGTTCAACCCAACTCCATGTGCATTTTTGGTGAATAATTTGCTTCATGACAGGTCCACATCCCCCATAAGGTTATCATTCGACCGGTGATTGTTCATTACTTCTCTTGTTATTCTAGATCCGACGAAGTATGGTATTCGCTTCTGAACTGCGTGACGTGGCTGACGAGTTCCGCCGGACCTACTTGAATTCCACCGATATTCCCGATCACACATTCTCTCCATTCTCTATTCCTGGTCGTGGTCCGGGTTCCGCCTGGCTTCATCGCACGTGGCCCTTCGCACCGGCTGTGGGAGGGCCCTATCTGGCTGTGCATTGGCGCTGCGGTGACTACGTGCAATCGTCCGGAGATAGGTGGATCAATACGCCTTCACCCGTACAATTGGCCTCTCAGATCCGGTTCGCTCTGGACTATTTGGCTTCTGAGCATTCTACTGTGATAAATGTCGTCTTCCTCTCAACCGATGCCAATAAAATAGGTGAAGTTACACAATTTGCTGTTATGCGGGATGTTGGGTTGTTGGTGGTTAGTTTATCCGCCAAGGTTGATAATTTTTTTTAAATGAGTATCGTTGAAGCGTTCTGGCCTTTGAGTACAGTAACGCTATTAGTAGGTAAAACCACAGTTGTTTTCCATTCGTGACTATAATTAGTCGTTCAGCTGTAACATCCTTTGGGCACATACCTTCTATGCTACCGACAGGAAGCACGAGGGCTAGGATACTGTCAATTTACCCAAGCCTAGACAGGTGAAGTCGAGATGCAAAGGTTGGATTCGAACGACGGACCTTCTGGTCAGCAGATTTGCGCTATAACCACTGAGCCATCTCGCCTCGTGACTATGATATTACTGATCATGGGAAACTAAGGCGTTCGTCCTTTTAGGAGAGAAGGAGTTGGCGACTGAGTCGTGACTGGCGCGTATTGCTGTAATGGACAATGCGACTTAGCAGTCTCTCCCCAGAAAAATGTCACTCAGGAAGCGGATTACTGTAATGATGATTCGTCGACAATCTTGCCTATAATTTAGCTTGACTCTCGTAACTGCGACCCTCTGGGTGCAGCGTATGCTCGTCTTACGAACCGCATTTTTCAGGCCATAGCAACCAACCTGTGGGACGATGTATCCTCACTGCATTTTAGGCGGAGCTTAGACATGTGAAGCTTCCCAAACTTTACCACCTGATAATTCACCAGATATCCCTCATAAATCACTTGACTGTTAGTTCAGGTGCCGGCATGCCATTTCTGCATAGTGTGAAGATACAACATCCAACGGAGAATTTCGGCGCCTTTTGTACGTTATCTTGGTTATCTTAACTCTGTAATCGTGTTTTGGCCTCTTGCGTTTGTACCAAAACGCCCCCTGATCATACGTCTGCTGTCACGACAAAAAGCAAAGCAAACAACCCCAGTGATGTGGATATCGGATAAGTTGGACTAGTAATCCATGCTTCAGCTGTTGGTACCGTGAGAATCTGGATCTATCAATCTCCCGTTACTCTAGAAATCCCCATTGGTGAATTAGCCAGTGGTCAAGTCTGTGCTGATGAACGCGACTGTTTGGCTGGCTTCATGTGGAAGCTATATCGAGTCCGGCTTTGATTGGCTGCAGCATATGGAGTCTGGCGCTGAACAGACCGCAGCGTTTCGTCTCGTAGTGGACGGTCACGCTCCACTTAGGGTGATGCAGTTTCTGACAAACAATGTCAGAAGGATAGTTTGTTGTACAACTCCTCTCAGCTCTAATCCATTCATTTACTCCTTGAGTGGGGTTGGGGGTAGCAGTAAGTAATTTTCGAAGAACGTGTAAATTCAACTATGTCCTTCATTCGCGTCCACTAATCCTTCCGAGAGGATGTACATAGAAGAGCTTCTCCTTTGGAGTGGCCTTTCTTGGGTGAACGATCGTACCTCTAATAAGCCATCCTGTATGGATAATAGACGGTGAGAAGCCTTTGAAGGCCAACACGCACGCCCTTCTCGGCAATTTCCTCTCTCTGGAGCTATATTCATCAGCGTGAACCAATAGAACCGCTGCATACTTTCGATGATTTTTTTAAGTGCAGGATTCTAGAAGCAGCTGAGGACCATTGTAAACACGGCATTCACCCCGCTCACTGACACGGTCTATATTAGAAGGCAGCCAGTCCTGGAGGGACCAAGGAATCTCCCAGCCAACAACAATGTAGGTGCATCAGAGCTCCATGAAGCTGGTACATTAGTGTAATCATCTGCAAAACAAGAAATACCTCTTCAAATACCAGCTTTATCGTCGACGAACATAGTTACCATGGTGAACGTTGGGACAGTTTTGTTAGAAAGTTAAATTTTACAGTTACGGACGGGACGACGAAGCTTGTGCGCTATTCCGTTTTAAGTATTTACACTTTCTCAAACGTCAAAGGTCACAGAATGTTGGAGAAATATTTTCATCAAATTTAATTTAACTTAACTTTATTTGTAAATGGGTGTACACCTCCACTCATGTTTTATGCGGTGCTGACATGAGACCCCTTGGAACCCGGGACTTGATGAATCCCAAGAATGACTAAACTTTTAGTGAACTGCCGAAGAGTTTTCAGCAACCTTGTAAGCAGCTTGGTTTAATGGACAGTGGCCGTTTGTTACACTAAATCATAGCAAACTGCAGGCTGTTGGATCGACGCATATCTTCCTAGCGCAAACTTCACAACACCACCCATCTCTGTGGTGGCTTGCAGTGATTTAAGTCCAGTCATATTGTCCTTGAACATGAGGCACACAGGTTCAATTCATCCCATAGTCATCATGATAAAGACCAAGCTCTAAAATGTGCCACTGATGTTTTCCAGGAGTTTTCTATTGATTTGGGGGACTGGGTTAGGGTTTGGCCAGATGTTATGCACTGGATTGGAACATCTGAAGGTGTTGGCCTCAAACTGGTCTCTTCTGGAAGACGGTCATTGAAGGGGTTGTAAGCAATGAGATCTGTTTTAGGAAATCAAGCAAAAACGGTTTCTTATGAGGGATCGTTTCTGTTGAGAATGATCTCTACAAAGTTGTAAAACTGGCGCAGTTGTGGTCACTGTTTCGTGATTTTAGCGGTCTTACTCTGGAGCAGTAATCTTCAAGAGTGTGTGGGTCGTGTGCGTCCTTCCCATGAAACAGTAATAAACTTCCGGAGGCCGTAATGGGTTACTCCCTCTATACGGTCTCCCTACATGGAAAATTCATGTATGCAGAAATCTTGGTGACACATGTTCTAGCCATTTACCTGAAAATATCTTGTCTTATCATTATTATTGAGGCTGTATCAGTGATTAGACTTATCGGCATGGTCTTTTTGTCCCTTAGACAATTAACCTTCTTATGTGTCGTCGAAACGTGGTTGAAAGTGAAGGCCAGAGAAACCACAGTCTTCGAGTTTATTTGCACATAGATATCATACAGTGTTATGAAAGACGGACTGTGGTTATGTACCAGCGCATTTGTCGATGTCAAATCCAGTTTTGAAGAAACTATATCCGCTCTGGAAGCAGCACCGTCATGAGACCACTAGAAAGTGATGACTTCCACTTGGTTAATGGTAAATAATCTTGCGGAGGCCACAAGAGAGGCTGGTTTCCGTTGGTCGTTCGCACTGCTTTCTCAAGAAGTGTATGATTGCGTCCTTTTTAAAACATCGGCTCCTCGAACGGAGCGCTTGCGACCGAATTTATAAAGTGGCTTTCTCAAGGAGACAAAGTGCAATAAGGTTGTCCCCTTTCGGGAGGCCGTCTGCAGGGACTTACTAAAAGTAATGTGTTGCAATATACGTTCTCTTTTCGGAAGGACCAAACCACCGAATTACTAACCACAAGCAGTCTTATGTGAGATGCAGTCCCCGGAGGGCGGGCGTGTCATGCAGATGCAAATCCACATTGTATGACCCCCAGTCATTTTGTGGGACATTTGTGGTGGTCCTTGCTGGGATTGGAGAGTTGCCCCTCGAGGGGTAGCAATTCCAAGCCAACTGATGGAATCGGTGTAAAGCGTCGGTTTCTCTTAGGGATGCTCTTTGGGGGGAGGCTGATTTATGCTTCCCCGCAATCTGCCTGTTTGTTCGTTTTTCGGTACCTACTCGTGTTGCTTACGAAAGCTCATGGCCTCTCCACTTGTTGGTTGTTTCTGTTCGTGGTTCCAAAACCCGTTTAAGAGAGGAAGATCTAATTTGAGGCATAAAACGTGACTGTTAGTTTGTTCGCTTGGGATGAGTAATGTGGTCGAAACAATTCCATAGCCAGACCCAATGACCACATCGGTTCGTTGCAGTGCACAGAAGAGGTGGTGCATGTAGACGGAATTGTGGTGACTAGTGGTGTGTGACCTTCGACTGAGATACTACCGATTGACCCGCTGACTTGTTTTCCTATTGGTGGACGCTCAAGTAGTTAATGATCTTGCTTTGGCGAATAAATGTGGCTGAAAGAAGGTTTGCAAATCGCTGAATAGAATAAGGTCTTGTCTTCCCTTTTTCCCCGACCTCTGTCAAAGCAGAGCGTCAGCAGTACCTAATCACTGTACTGCTTACTGTACCAACGTAACGCCAGAACCCAAAGTAATTTACTATTTTGCCATTTTCTGACTAGCTCAGTTTTTATTTGGTTCTTTCGGCAATTCTGCCCAGCCATAAAAGACGGTAGTAATGGTGATCGGGTCTGTATCTAGGTGTACGGATGCACTCATCACCTCCTGGTTTCTGATCGAATGTCAGCATATTCGGACCATGAAAGTGACCACAATTAAATCACTGTAAAAAAGAACAAAACCCTAAGAGGAAAACGCTGTCTAAAACTGGGTCTTGGCAGTCTTAGACGAGGCGAGATATCCAGCTAAAAAAGGAGTCAGTGACTCCGTCTGCAGCGAAGAACGGGTATATGCATGTTTGGAAACATTTCTAGTCCCACTTTCAGACTTTGTTAAGAGGATAAAATGCATCGTCGAGTGTATGTAAAATAAATCATGACCTGACAAAAAAGTGACACAAAATCCTGGATATAGAGCTAATATTCATCTACGAAATAAGTTTTTGACCTCATTTAAGCTGCCGAAACTTCTTGAGTGAACCAAGAACCAGCATATGAGGACAATGAGAAATGGATAAAAGCTCACAAGAGCATACGAATTCCCATATAAAATTCTGAGATGACTAAATTGGCCAAGTTTTTCGATAAACCCGCGCGTTTTCTCTTTCAGTTTGAGCCGCCAACCTTGAGATGGATGATAAACCCACTCCGCAGTGTTGATAACAGTTAGTGTTTGGAAATTCATATGTGTGCGCAGGGGGGTGTTCCACAATGTGTTTCGTTCGGAGCGCCACGTGACTGTCGTTCTAACGAGGCCAGACGGCTTGAGTCCTAGGCTGGGGCTGATTATAACTATATCCACGAACGGGCATTGTTCGATTGGAGAGAAGGCGCACGATAAAAACTCTCATTCCTTCAGTAATCCGAACAAT